TAAAAATAGAGGGTCACTGAAGTATAGGGAGATCCTCAATGAGTCAGACTGACATTATTGTTGTTGTTATGTGCCATCAAGTCACCTGTGACTCATAGTGATCCTATGTACTAGCTGTGATCCCTGCCCTGTCCTGAGTCAATTTCCATCATCTCCCACAGACCTAATCCCATTGCTCTACTCACTAAATCAATCCATCTCATCCTGGGTCTTCTTCTCCTGTGCTGTTCCTCTTGCCTTCCAAGCATGATATCTTTCTTCAAGGATTGGTTTTCCCTGGCCACATGCTCAATGTATGTGAGACAGAGCTTAAAAACTCTTGCCTCCAGGGAGCAGCCTGGTTTCACCATCTCCAAAATACATCTATTTGTTCTCCTGGCAGTTCATGGAATGTTCAACATTTTTCTCCAGCACCACAACTCAAAGACATCAATCCTTTTCTGTTATCCTTAGTTATTATCCAGTTCTTGGATGCTTAGCAAGTAATTGTGAAGACCATGACCAATGATTTTGTCCCTTTGCTTTGACTTCTCGGCACTCTAGTAGAATATTCAGAGTCTCATCTTACATCCTTCTTGATCTTTTCTTTCCCCTTCCTTTGTAGTGGCTTTTTGCATCCTTCATGAAAGGTATTCTTGGTATCCTCCCACAGCTCATCTAATCTTCACTCATTAATGTTCAGGGCCTCAAACCTTTTTCTGAGATGGTCTTTAAATTTTGGTATGTTAAACTCAAGGTCAGACTTTGGTTCTTGTGTATTTTATTTTTCTTTCATTTCAGTCTGAATTTGCATAGGATTAGTTGGTATTCTATTCTACAATCAGTACCTGGCATAATTTACACAACCAGTATTGAGCATCTTCAATAATTTCTTGCTTAGATGTAGTCAGTCTGATTCCTATGAAGACAATCAGGTGACATTCATGTGTATGGTTGCTATTTATGTTTCTTATAAAAAAGTGTTTGTTGATTGTGCAGAATTATATCATTCTTTCACCAGCCTCATTTCTGTCACCAGGTTCATGCTTTCTGATTACTAATCCTTCTTCTTTGTTCCCAACATTTTAAAAATATAAATAGTATTTTTAATTGCTGAGCTAGTTAGCACAAAGATTTTTGCCCTATAAATTTCAACCCTTTAAAACGTGTAAGCATAAAAAATTCCTGTCACCCATTATTATCAAAGTATCTTTTTTTAAAATTTTAATTGGGATTTTAATGAAAGTTCACAGAAACATTAGATTTTCATTCATTCATTGTTGCACATTTTACCACCTTTCCCTTCCTCCTCCCTCAGTTCACTTTAAAAAAAAAAAATTCATTCATGGTTGCACAATTACCTACCCCCTCCTCCGTCCTCTTTGCAGTATACTTCTTATTCTAGGCTGTTGCCATACGTATAATGGCCAGTCATATATTCCTTTGAAACAGTTCTTTCCTTCATTTGTTCCAATACAATGTTCATTATCTATCCACTCTTATCCTTTTCTTCTCCCAACCTCCATGTCAGACCTGCTTTATTACAGTGATGCTATGCAGTATTTGTCCTTTTTTGACTGAGATGTTTCACTCAGTATAATGTCCTCCAGGGTTACCCATGTTGTATAATTTTTATGAGTCCATTGTTTTTCAATTCTTCAGTGCTGTACAGTACTACCTTGTATGAATATACCATAATTTTTTCTATCCATTTGTTTGTTGGTGGGCATTTGAGTTCCATCTCTTTGCTCTTGTAAGTAGGCAGCAATAAACACGGCTATACATTTATCTGTTTAGATAGTGGTTCTGGCTTCTTTAGGGTATATTCCCAGTAGTGCTATTGCTGAATTAAATGATATTTCTATTTCTGACTTTTTGAAACAGTGCCAGACTGCCTTCCATAGTGGTTGCACCATTTTACCCTCCCACTAGCATTGTATAAGGATTTCAATCTCTCCACAACCTTGCCAGCATTTATTGTTTGTTAGTCTGTTGAACTTTGCTATTGTTGCTGGAATGAGATTATATTTCACATTTGATCAATTTCTGACTGTAGAAGTTGGTAGAAGTCATCTCTTTCCTCTTCTTTGGCCTTTTTTGGATGTTGGTCCATATATGAATGATAGTGGTATTAACAGGTCTTTCTTGTATGCATATGGATATTATCCTGCCGCTCATATTATATTTCAAGTTGTATTGAGAAATGGTCTTTTTATCTATTTTATCTATTTGTCCTTACCTTTTCATTTCATTGTAGTATATCATATAATTGCCTGATTTAAAATGTCCCAGTGCCAGTTCCATGTTTGTCAATATTTATATATTCCATTTCTTCCTTAATAATCTCCAGTTTTCCTACATTCATACTTCTCACATTACACGTTCCTGTCAGTACTGTCTATTTGCAACTGTTCTTCCTCCTTTGTAATTCCCAGTAAGAAGGCTTTTCCTTTGGTGTCATATCTACTAGTCTACTTTAAGTGTGCTCAATTATATATAGAATTGACATAGTGACTGCAGTAATGGGTTTAAGCACAGCAGAGATTATGCATCATTGACCAAAGTTTCCTTTTGTTGTATTAAGGTTATTATGAGTTGGAGCTCACAAAATGATGCCTAAACAGTTGCAACAAGGGCCTTTTACCTTATGATTTAATTTTATGGGAAACTTTGGTTTGAAATTTCAATCTTATACCCATCTTACTATTGTAGTCTTTCCTGCTTTCTTTCCCTTTTCTTCTTAGCCCATTATCTACTATTTTATGATCAACAATCTGCGTTATGCAGATGACACAACCCTGCTTGCTGAAACTGAAGAGGACCTGAAGCACCTGCTGCAGAGGGTCAAGGACTGCAGCCTACAATATGGATTGAGGCTCAATGTCAAGAAGACAAAGATTCTCACCACTGGACCAATTGGCAGCATCAGAATGGATGGTGAAGAGATTGAGATTGTACACAGCTTTAGTTTGCTTGGCTCCATAGTCAACAGTCTTGGCACCAGCAGCCAGGAAATTAAAAGGCGCATTGCCATGGGAAAGTCTGCTGTTAGGGACCTCTCCAAAGTGCTGAAGAGCAATGGTGTCTCTCTGGAGACTGAGGTGCGTCTGATACAGGCCATGGTCTTCACAATCACTTGTTATGCATCAGAGAGTTGGACAATGACCAAGGAGGATCGAAGGAGAATTGATGCCTTTGAGCTGTGGTGCTGGAGAAGAGTATGGAGAATACCATGGACTGCTAGGAAAACAAACAGATTTGTCCTGGAAAGGGTTAAACTGGGTGGCTCCTTAGAGGCAAGGATTCTGAGGCTCCGTCTAATATACTTTGGACATGTTGTGAGGAGAGACCGGTCCTTGGAGAGGGACATCATGCTTGGGAGGGTAGAGGGACAGCACAGGAGAGGAAGGCCCTCTATGAAGTGGATTGATTCAGTGACTGGGATAATTGGGATGGGAGTGTCAGAGACAGGGCGATTGGCACAGGACAGAGCGGAGTTTAGGGCTGTTGTACATAGGGTCGCTATGAGTCGCAAGCAACTCGACAGCACATAACAACAACACAACATATAGTTGTTGTTTATTAAATGTGTTCATTTTTTTTTCTCTCTCCCTACCTTAAAATCTATATTGGTAAAAATCTATATTGGTTGCTAGTCAACAAGACCCAGGGGAGGTCCTTTATATTTAAAATTTGGTTGTTATTATATTTTGGTGGAACTTTTGTCTAAGTGTACAGCACTCTTCTGTCAATATACTGTACTGAAATAACCTGGGGTTGCTGTGGTGCTGAACCTTGTGCCATTGGGGTGTCAAATGCCTTAACGATTTCCCATGATGGAAAGTGTTTGATGGTGTTCCAAGTTTAAGACAGGTTTGGAAGCAGGAGTAGCATCCAGTTCCCAAACAACATGCCTCTGAAAACTCTATGAACTTTGATAAATGGTGATAGTTGTGGAAGGGCTTTCAGGCCTTTTGTTCATGGGGTTGCTATGAGTCATGTTTGACTCGATGACAATCAACAACAACAACAACTTTAAAATCTTATATCCAAAATGTCACGCATTTTGTTGGTTTGGGTCAGTTGTATATTCCAAGCACTTGGAGTGACTGTCAGTCATATAGTAACACTCAGTAATTATTTGCTCAAGAAAAAATAAGTGTGCTTGCATGTGTACATGCAAATCTTTGTTGTTTCAGGTCCTGTGTTCACTACCGTATGCCTCAGTAAGTTATTATTGTTGTTGATTGCCATCGAGTCAAGCACAACTCATAGCAACCCTACAAACAAAAGCCCTGAAGCCTTTCTATAACTATCATAATTTATCAAAGTTCATAGAGTTTCAGAGGCGTGTTGCTTAGAGGATGTCACTCCTGGTTCCAAATGCCTCATTTTATTGCATGTATTATGATAATAATGTTTTAATTGTTTTCACTTTTTTATGAGATATTAATATTTCAATTTGTCAAACGATGAACACCATGTGTTTTCAGTTTAGTTATATGAATGTTTAGTGATTATGCATATATATTATATACATATATATGTCAACTACATTTAAAATAATTTTTTTTAGAATTTATAGCCTTGAATCACAAAAGCAACATTATAGTATCAGTTATCAAGAAAGTTGACTAATTCTTAAGTGTACTCTGGGAGTAGAGTTTGTATTATATTGTTGTGTTGTTGAATGCTGTTAGGTCAAGCATGACTCATAGTGACCCTATGAACAAAAGACCTGAATCCCTTCTATAATTATTGTGATGGCTCAAAGTTCATAGACTTTCCAGAAGCATGTTGTTTAGGAATGGATGCCACTCCTGCTTCCAATTTTCTTAAATATACAAAATAAATCTTTAGACTAAGATTGTATCTGAAAAAAGAAATTTAACATTAGGAAATTACTTGATATTTTCAATAAAGAAGAAATACATGACAAATTACTTGCTTTTTATTACAAATGCCAGTTTAAATATTCCTATCTAATACTTCAGATCAGTGATAAAAATATATTTTCTCAGTTTCATCTCTAGACACTGAAAAAGGACCCAAGCCATGTAAAGATCCTAGTTGTGAAGCTTCAAAAAGACTTTCTAAGGTATGTTATGTATGGCTGGGCTAAGGTAAAGTGTTGGATAGATTGCTTAGGATATCAGTAAGCATTTTGGCTACTTAAGAAACACATGCGTCCCTTGGTCCATTAAGGAAGTTCAGTAATGAAAGTCACACAGTAAAAAGCAGTACTAATCAGACAGATATGTCTATAAATTACTTTGAAATTTGTCTTATATATTAAAAAATACAAGTGAATTTATGAAGAAATATGATTTCTTGACCTTATTTTATTTTAATAATTAATTTATAACCATTAACCAGAATTGTGTTGATGTTATCTGAACCATCATAAAAGTATAACGTTGAAGTATAATGCTGACTGTTTAGACACTACTATGTGTTAGCATACTACTTTGGTTTTTAAAATGAAAATTATTCTGTAACTCTCTGTAACTGTTTAGTATAGTTCTCTCATTCACAGTATGCTCAACATTGCATGCTCATTTAATTGATGGCAGTGTTTTTCTTCCCATACTTAACTACTCTCCCTAACAATACAAATATATAAAAAGTATTATTTTTAAATCTTTAAGATAAAAATTTGTTAACATTACAGTCATTGTAAAAATTTTATTTATATGGCATTGCACATTGAGATTAATTCCCATTCTTTTGACCGGTAAAATTGACAGGGAGATTTTTCTTTATTTTAAACCCATGGCAAATTCATTGTTATCACATTGATATAAATTCTTCGACAAAGTTGAATTTATCCATAGAGTTTCCAAAGCTATAAATCTTTACAAATGGGGACATCCACATCTCGATTCTGAAGAGTAAGGTTGGTTTTTTTTTATTTACTTGAAAACTGGGTGTAAAGTGTTTGGGCATTTTTATTTTGTTAAAAATCAAGAGTAAGCTGTTAATTGTGCTTCCAGAGAACTTTGTTCTAAGTGGTAGAGCGCTTGTCTGTCAGGTTGCTGGACTGAGATAACTTGAGGTTGCTGTGATACTGAAATTTGTACCACTAGTGTGCTAAATATCATAAGGGTTACCCATGCTTGACAGGTTTTGGTGGAGCTCCCTGATTAAAATAGACTAAGAAACTGGATGGATCGTCCACATCCTAAATAACATGCCTTGGAAAACCCTATGAACACTAAAGAAAGAGGACAGTTATATTAGTGTAGTGGTAGAGCACATATTGAAAGTTGGTTTTAATGAGGAAAAAATAGTAAGCATTGTTTAATAATTGGAACATGGAATGCACACAGTTTGAATGTTGGAAAATTAGAAATTGTTCAAAATGAAACGGAACGCATGAATATCAACATACTAGTTATTAGTGAGATGAGATGGACCAGTTCTGGCCACTTTGAATCAGTTAATCAAATGGTATACTATGCAAGGGATGAAAAACAAAACACAAATGGTGTTGCATTCATAGTAAAAAAGTTAATTTCAACTTCTATTCTGATATAACTTGACTTTCAATACTTAAGGATGCTTTGGGCAGAATATAAATGATCCAGGAAGCATTAAAAGGAGATGGAAAGAGTATACAGAGTAATTGTAGCCAAAGGAATAATTTCATGAAACAACGTATGATCAAGAGCCTGTGGTGATGAAGGAAGAAGTTCAAGCTGCTCTGAAAGAATTGGCAAAAAAACAAAGCCCCAGAAATTGATGGCATACAGACTGACATATTCCAACAAACAGATGCTGCCCTGAATGTGCTCACCAATTTGTGCCAAGAAATCTGGACACCACCACCCCACCCCGGGCAACTGACTAGAAGAGATCTATATTTGTTCCCATTCCAAACAAAGGTAACCCGACAGAGTGTGGAAATTATCAAACAGTGTCATTGATATCACATGGAAGGTTCTGCTGAAGATTTTCCAAAAATGACTGGAACAGCACATGAACAGAGAACTGCCTGAAGTACAGGCTGGATTTAGAAGATGTCGTGGCACTAGGGATATTATTGCTAATGTGAGATGTATCTTGGCTAAAACAGAGAGTACCAGAGGAATGTCTATTTGTGTTTCATTGAATATGCAAAGGCATTTGATTGTGTGGATCACAACAAACCGTGGCTGACTCTGAGAAGAATGGGAATCCCAGACCACTTGATTGTGCTTATGCAAAACCTATGCTTGGACCAAGAGGCAGTCATCAAAACAGAGCAAGGAAACACTGCATTGTTCAAAATTGGGAAGGGTGTGTGTCAAAGATGTGTCCTATCTCCATATCTTTTCAATCTATATGTGTAACAGATTATCCTATCCAGGAGGCTGGGATCTATGAGAAGTGTTCTGTCAGGATTGGATGACACAACTCTGCTAAAACTGAGGGAGACCTGACAGAGCGCTTGCTGCTGAAAGTCAAGGTATGCAGCCTTCAATATGGATTGAAGCTCAACATAAAGAAAACAGATTCTCACCACTGGGGCAGTTGGCAATATTATGATAGATGAAGAGAGATTGAGATTGTTAATAGCTTCAGTTTGCTTGGCTCTACAGTCAACACTCTTGGTACCAGCTGTCAGGAAATTAAAAGACAAATTGCATTTGGAAAGTCTGCTGTTAGTGACCTCTCCAAAGTTTTGAATAGCAACAATGTTAGTCTGGAGACTAAAGGTGCGCCTGATACAGGCCATGATCTTTGCAATACCTTGCTATGCATCAGAAAACTGGACACTGACTAGGGATGATAGAAGAGAGTTGATGCCTTTGAACATGAAAAAAATGGCTGGAACACTGTATCCAGATGAAAAGCAGGGAGGAGAGGCCCCTTGGAGCTATCTTCTGGAAGTCCTGGTAGGCTTCCCTGTTTTACCCTTCTTTAGGACTGATGATCCAGTGGAGGTGAATGTAGAAGAAGTGGGGACAGAGATCATGAATAGCTCAGGGCAGTGAATGGAGCCTAAAGAGTTGGTCAGTGGGAGATGTGGGACAGGATGGCTGCAAATGCCCCTCCCCACCAGGCTGGGAGGAGGCAAAGAGGGGGGAACATCAGCTCTGCTCCTACTCCTTGAGGCTAGCCTAGCTTCCCTAGATGCATTTGAGGAGACTGGACTCCCTGCTTTGTAACAAGTCTGGGAAAACGTGGGGAGGGTAAGTCACGCCCATTTCCTGGCAGAGTCTGAGACAAGCATCATTTTACAAAGATCCTCCAAGCCTGCAAAAAACAAACAAACAAAAACAAGCACCACTACCAACAACACCAACTAAACAACATCTAGAACAGCACATAGATATGGAACTGCCAGAAGTTCTAGCAGGAGTTTTAAGAAGCTGTGGCATCAGGATATCATTGCTGATGTCAGATGAATCCAGGCCGAAAGTAAGAAATATCAGAATAGTGTCTACTTTTGCTTTACTGACTGTGCAAAGGCATTGGACTGTGTGGATCATAACAAGTTGTGACTGACATTGAGAAGAATGGGAATCCCAGCGCACATAATTATGCTCGTGCAGTACCTATACCTGGAGCAGAGCAGGGGAACACTGCATGGTTTAAAATTGAGAAGGGAGTAGAGAAAACAGTGCAACAATGAATGAATAAAAACCCCAAATCTCTGTAAATGTTCATTAAAACTAATAAAATTTAATAATAATTTAAAAAAAGAGAAAAAAATTGAGAAGGGAGTACGTACAGTTAGTTGTATTGTCTCCCCATACCTATTCAATCTATGCAGAGCAAATTATCTGAGAAGGTGAACTCTATGAAGAGGAAGGATTGTGGCATCTGGATTGGAGGGAGACTCATCAATAACCTTTGTTATGCAAATGACACAACTTTACTTGCTAATTGTGAGGAGGACTTGACACACGTGCTGGAGAAGATCAAGGAATGCAACTTCCTATCTGGATTGTGTCTCAGTGTCAGAAAACACTGGACTCATAGGTAGCATCATGATGGGTGAAGAGGATATTGAAACTGTCAACAGCTTCAACTTGCTTTGATCCACAGTTAATACCCTTGGTACCAGCAGTCAAGAAATAAGGAGATATATTACACTGGGAAAATCTGTAGTTAGGGACCTCATCAAATTATTTTGGTATAATGATGTCAGTTTGAAGACTAAGGTCTGTCTAATTCAGGCCATAGCCTTTTTGAATACTTGCTATGCATCTGAGATCTAGACAGTAAATAAGGATGACAGAGGAGGAATTGATACCTTTGAACTGTAGTGGTTACTCATAAGTCTTCTTTCAAGGCTGATTATCTGTTCTGCATATATGTTGAAAAGGTATGGAGATAGGATGCATCCCTCTCATACACCTTTTCTAGTTTTGAACCATGCAGAGTGTTTCCTTTCTCTGTTCTGATGACTGCTTCCAGATCTAAGTATAGGTTTCACAGAAGCACAATCAAGTATTCATGGATTCCCATTCTTTCAGAGTTAGCCACAGTTTGCTGTGATCCTCATAGTCAAATGCCTTTGTGTAGTCAATGAAACACATATGAACATTCCTCTAGTACTCTGCTTTCAGCAAAGATCCATCTAACATTGACTATAATATCCCAGCTGCCACAGCCTCTTCTAAACCCAGCCAACACATCTGGTAATTCTCTCTTGTTATGCTGCTCCAGTATCCAAAAACCACTGGAACAGCATAATAACTAGCATTGTTGTTTTTGTTGTTGATATGTGCTGTCGAGTCGCTTGTGACTCATAGCAACCCTATGTACAACAGCCCTAAACCCTGCTCTATCCTGTGCCAATTGTACTGCCTCTGACATACCCATCCCAATTACTTCAGTCACTGAATCAATCCACTTCATAGAGGGTCTTCCCCTCTTGTGCCATCCCTCCACCCTCCCAAGTATGATATCCCTCTCCAAGGACCTGTTCCTCCTTACAACATGTCCAGTGTATGTCAAATGAAGCCCCATAATCCTTGTCTCCAAGGACCAGCCTGGTTTAACCTTCATCAGGATGAATCTGTTTTCTTGGCAGTCCATGGTACATTCAATACTCTTCTCTAGCACCACAGCTCAAAGGCATCAATTCTCCTTCTACCCGCCCTAGTC